TGGCCTCTCTCCTGGGTGCCCGGCTCTCCCCGACTCCTCGGTGACTCCGTCCCTCAGGGCACATCGAGAGGCAGTTTCGGTTGTCACAGCTGGGGTCAGCCCCCCACACACACCAAGAGCCGACCCCCAGCCCAGACATCAGCAGCGCTGATGCTGAGGCCTACTGCGGGCTGCGGCCTGCTTCCTTCGCCCCTCCTGGTGGCCGCGGGGCGGGCCGGGGGTAGCCCCGCAGGGCTGTGGTGGGGCCTCCGTTCCTGACCCGTCTCCCCTGTGTCTCCTGCAGAATCGGGACAATCAGACAGTTCAAACCAGCAAGGAGATGCGGACATCAAACCACTGCCCAACGGTCAGTGCCCACCCGCCCGCCTCTCCCTTCCCGGCCGGCCCCGGCCCCGGCCCCGGGGGGGGGCCTCCACAGAGCCCATTCAGGCTTGGCCAGGGGCAGCCCGGGCGGGGAGACCCCCAGAGGAAAGGCTGGCACCCCTCCCGGCCTGGTCCGACTCACTGGGCCTCTTCCCTCCTCAGGGCACTTGAGTTTCCAGGACTGTTTTGTGACTTCCGGGGTCTGGAATGTGACGGAGCTGGTGAGAGTATCACAGAGTGAGTCCCGCTTCCCGGGTCAGGGGTGCAGTTGGGGGTGAGGTGGGACACCCACAGCTGGGGTGCTGGGCCAGATGGTTTCCAGAAGTCCTCGGCATCATTGGCACCCGACGGGGTGGGGCGGAGCGGCCGGAGAGTCTCGTCTCTACTCCCCGCTGCCTTGGGGAGAGAGAGGGAAGTCGCAGTCAGAGGTTCTGTCCCCATGACCCCTGCCAGGAGGGCCTGGCCCGGGCTTCTGGGGAGCTGCCAGGGCAACGCGCAGGCCCACGGGGCCTCCCCACTGGCCCAGCCTCACACCTTCTCCTTCTTCCCAGCTCCTGTCGCCACAGCGTCAGGGCCCAACTTCTCGCTGGCCGACCTGGAGAGTCCCAGCTACTACAACATAAACCAGGTGACCCTGGGGCGGCGGTCCATCACCTCCCCTCCTTCCACCAGGTGAGCCCACTGCCCTGGCCTTCCCGCGGCCGAGGCCGCCGTAGGCAGCCATAGGCTGGAGCCCTGGCGCTTCAGAATGCCACCTCTCCCTGAGGGCGCTGGCTCCGAGGTGCCCGGATGCTCAGTCACCCCCTGAGCTTCCAGCTTTGCGTTGTCACAGAGCACTCGGCCCTGAGACGCAAACCCGCACATGCCTTGGTTCTGACGCGGTGGCGTCCGAGAAGGCGGCTCTCTCGGGAGGTGACCTTTGAGCCCAGACACCTAGGGAGCTGGCTGGTACAGGCCTCCGGTCAAGAGGGCAGTAGAGACCGGACAGGTGCTTCGACACTGTCCTTGTAGGGGTCTAAGCCAGGGTGCTGGGGGCTGTGTACCAGAGAGCTGTCTCCAGCAGCAGCGCCCGGGGCAGGACTGACAGCCACTCAGGAGGCCATCGCTCGGAGCGGGAGGGGTGGGTGACATGCCTGTGGGTGGGGCAGCTGGCCTTGGTGCTGGGCAGAGCTCGGTCCCGCCCTTCTTAAAGAGGTGGACGCTTTTGTTCGGTGAGGATTTTGGCATTCCTTCTGATTATCATTATTATTTTTATTATTTTTTTTTTGGAGAGGTTTTTCGCTATAGGGCGCGTGCGCTGGCCAGAAAGACAGAGAGACAGAGAGACAGAAAGCGAGAAATCACCCCCCAGGGGGGATGGCCACGCTGCAATCTCCTCTCCATTCTCCTCTGGGGATGTTGGGCACGCACGCACACGCTTGGTGTGAGTTTAAACCACCGGGTCCAGGACTTGAACTGCGATCAACTGCACGGGAGTCCAGTAACATAGCCATTACACCAACTGCTGGTCCCCATTTTGATTTTTTAAAACATTGATATTCTTTTTTTCTTTTTTTGGAGAGGTTTTGCTATAGGGCACGTGCGCTTGCCAGAAAGACAGAGAGGCAGAGACAGAAAGCGAGAAATCACCTCCCGGGGGGATGGCCACGCCGCAATCCCTTCTTCTCCATTCTCCTCTCAGGATCTTGGGCACGCACGCACACGTGCCGGGCTTGAGTTTAAGCCACTGGGTCTGGGACTTGAACCATGGCCGACTACATGGGAGTCCAGCGACAGCCGTTATGCCAACTGCTGGTCCCAAAACACTGATATTCTTCCCCTCAATGATTGCAGCACCCCTGACGTTCCTGTCCCTGCGAATTCCCCCTGGCCTCACGGTGGCCCAGGGGCTGAAGAGAAATAGAGGATGGGGCAGGGGACGTGGGTGAGGGTTTTGTCGGCCTCTTGGACGTGAGCCAGTTGGTGGCCTTCCCGTGCACTCCCCTCTGCACACCTTCCCTGGAGAACTGGGGTGTCAGGACCGGGGGTGCTGAAGGAGGAGGCAGGAGCAGACTTGGTGCCACCTCACTCCAGGGCCCCAGGCTGGTCTCGGGTCAGGAACGCAGTGAGTGTCCGGAAGTGCTGCCGTTGAAGGCCTGATCCACCGCGCTCCCTGCAGCCACAGCCTGCCTGACCCTCTCCTCCTTCCCCAGCACCACCAAGCGCCCCAAGTCCATCGATGACAGCGAGATGGAGAGCCCTGTCGACGATGTGTTCTACCCCGGGACGGGCCGCTCCCCAGCGGCTGGCAGCAGC